CCCGACAGTGACCCCCCCCCCGAGGGATGTGGGGGCACTCGGGATCTAGGGACACCCGGACCCCTGTGTTCCGGGGCTCCAGAGACCTCTTAAGCCTCCTAAACCTAGAAGAACTTTTAGCTCCCACTTCCACATGATCCTTCCTGGGTTACCCAGACAGAGGAAGTCCTGACTACGAAGACATGAAAATAATGGAATCTCGCCCTAGAAAAAGGCATAAATAGGATGCACACACCGAGCAGCCCTCGAGAAGAAGCCCAGGTAGCAAGCTGCTCAAACGTGAACTGAATAGGTACCTCAGTGCCCGTCCCAGGTCACCGGCAGGCTTCCTCGCAGGCTGCTTTTGGTCATCCCAGAATCCCCACTGTCCCCAGAGTCTTCTAACACTACCCACAAGCTAAGTGCGCGTTCTGTAGGCTGCTTTCGTTCTTCCTTTCAACGTCCAGATCGTTAGCTCCCGGAAAGGAAAGCACTGCCTGCCCAGAAAATGGACACTTCCCTCTGAGAGAGAGTGAGTTCTTTCCCCAGGAGGAGGAAGAAATATACCCCGAGTGAGCTAAATTGTACTTGAGTGAAGAAACAGGGTTGAGCTGGCTGAAGAGAATTTTCAGAAATCTGCTTTGTCATGTTCAGGTCATGCCACTAAAGACTAGAATCGCCTGTACAGTTGGTTGTTCATCTGGGTTTATCAGAGTATGACTTCAAGATGAGGCTGGTCTGTGACATTCCAGCTGCGCTCGTATGGGCACTGTCCCGCAGCCTGCTGGGAGGACCTCTACTGTGTCAACAAAACGTAGCCCAAGGCTGGGGAACAGTCTGTAAAGAGAAACGTTTATACTTGTGCATAGAGATCTTGCTTAATGATTTTGTTCATTTTTCTGCTTCCTTGATTTTAGAAAAAGGGAGAAGAATTAACTCTCTCTTTATCTACAGTACCTACCTACCTTTCTGCACGTGTATATGTATAAATGTTCCAAAGGTGTGCAATTACCGCCATGGTAGGTCCTTAGAGCCTACTTACATGTGCCTACTCAGGCATTTAGAGTTGCCCAGAAAAACTAAGCTATTTATAAAGTTTAGTTAGGAAAACTAATAGATATCTTCCTTCGCAATGGAAAGATAAAATGAACCTGAATTCGGTGGTGTCGAGCCTTAAGAGAGGCCCAATCTGAGTGAAAACATAATAAAGCAGACATAAAAGTAGTCCAGTACTTTGGATTTTTTCTTCTTCTGAAGAACCATCTGAGGAAATTTAAATATAGAATCTCCAAGGAGCTTTCCACACTGCAGGATTTTTATACTAAAACTGTTCTCACTGAGACCTTTCTACATGCAAGACTTGTTTAAATTATAACAACAGATATATAAGATGTTATAAAATTATAGGAACAAAACTGTCACAATGTCCTTCTTGTTTAATGTTATCCTAAAGAGAATGGCAAGGGCTAAATCTATGAAGGAAACGAAGACATTACAATACATTTTACAGATGATGTAAGTGAATTTAAATTAATGATTTCATTCAGCAACAAACATTTAATATATTCATGTGGCAGCAACTATGCTAAGTGCTGGAAGCACAGCAGTTAATGAGTCCCTGGGAGGGCAAAGGCCATGTTTGTCTTGTAGGCAAGACACACACAGCTGGCAATTACAGGGGAATGGGTGTGAAGAAGAAAGTTCAACAGGGAAGAGGAGGGGTGGTCGGAGAGGGCATAGCTAAAGACACAGCATCTAAGCAGAGGCCTGCAATAGGAGTCATGATGGGTGGAGGAGAAGCCCCAGGAAAGCTGTTTCAACAAGAAGAAATGAGCTGGGCATGGTGATGTGTGCCTGTAAGTGAAGCACTCTGAGAGGCTGAGGCAGGAGGATCCCAAATTTGAGCCCAGCCTGAGAAATTGAGCCACTTATCGAGATCCTGTCTCAAAATAAAAAATAAAAAGAGGACTGGGGTGTAGCTCAGTATAAAAGCCCTGGGTTCAATCCCCAGTACTGCAAAAATGAAGGAGGAGGAGGTAGGAGGGGAAGAGATGGAAGGGGAAGAGAGGGAGGAGGAGGAGGAGAGAGAAGAAGTGTCATGTATGTCACATGTTAGGGTGCCATAGAGCAAGGCCTCTGAGAAGTTTGGAGAGGATGAGATACACAAGCCAGGGCAAGAAATGGAATTGGCCTCCCGCGGAAGTAGGGACATATTGTCCAGTGTCACCGGGAGGAAGGAAGAAAAGGCAGCTAGGGCTGCAGTGCCCTTGCAGTGTGGTGCGTGGAGCTGAAGGGAAGCCTGTCTAGCGGCTCTGTGTCCTCAGTGAAGTAGAAGGCAAGGTTGCCCACGACGCTGAAAGAAGGCAGATTTGTGATCTTGTTGAAACTTGACAAATGTGTCTTAAGACTCACACATGACACTGTACATGTCATCACGTGTAAATTTTCCATCAAAGGAGTAAAAAACTATAGCCAACTCCAGTTTTAACAAATGTGCACTAATGTAACACAAATCTCTAGGACCTAGGATGTTACCATGACCCCCAAGGAATATTAAAGCTTCTCTACTTATACCAGATTTTTGTATCAATGCACTGTTGAATCCTCGCTGCCTATACTGATACCCAGCATGGAGCAGGTGCTCGATATCCACTTATTGAATAAATGAGTGTGGGACATGATATTAAATCAAGACTCTTTCATCCAGGCTTTGTTGGGCACATGCATTTTATTGAATGAACAGGATGCAGTCGATCACCAACAGAAAATGATTTTTTTGTTGCCCCAACCCTTCCAATTCTCTGAAGGGTGCAGTATTCGGTTTTTTTGTTTTGTTTTGTTTTATTTTGTTTTCTACCCTGATGAAATTAATAAAGGCCACACAAATGTCACTCCAGGTCAGAGATTTTCCTTTCTCCCAGCTTGGTCTTGCTTCCAGATGGAGGCCTGCAGGGTATGGGGGGTCCTCCGCTTCTGTTTGGCTTTCTGCCTCTTCTGTTCTAGCCCCTGCATGGAAATCACTGTCCGAGGGAGCAGAGTCCTCCAGGCTTGGCTCCTGGTGGGGAGGACGGTGAGCCTCAAAGAAGCTTACTGACTAGGGTGAGCTTGGAGTTACTTCCCGTAGTCCCCTGCCCTGGGGCTTCTGAGGATTGGCGTTCTCCCCATCCCCCGATTTTATTGATTTTGTATTTATTTATTTAGCTTTCCCCGCTTGGCCTTCTCATTGAGCTACATCCCCAGCCCTTTTTGGTTTTTCTTTTGAGACAAGACCTCCCTAAATTGCTAAGGTGCCCAGGCTGGGCTCAAACTTGAGATTCTCCTGCCTCAGCTTCCCAGAGTGCTGGGATTACAGGCGTGCTCCACTTCCACCAGCAGGACTTGGAATCCCTTTTGAAATAAATTTAGACAGAATTCCCTCTAGCCAGTGCTTGGGATCATTTTGGTCTAGATATTTATCACATCACCACCCAACTGTCCATGCATCCTTCCCTTTATCCACCCATTGATCTGATCTCTCTGAACAAAGGAAATGGCCAACTTTAGTAGACTTGCCCCTGGAAAACGTGAGCCCATGTACAGCTAATAAAAGTGCAGCTTGTCCCGAGTGCTTCTGCCCCACTGACCCCTCACCCTCTCTCCTCTGCCTCTGGTTTTCTCCACTGGGTATTGGACTCCAGGATGCAGGTACCATGCTCTCCAAGTGTCTTCGGGAGGCGCCTCTCCTGTAGCTGAAGACAGGAAAGGCGCTGTTCTTCCTGCGGCTTGGCTCAGGTTCTGGGGTCTCCAAAGCGGTAACCCTGGGAGTCACCAAGCCCAGACCCCACCACAGGCTGTAAGAGGGTGTTGGGTGAAGCCACGCCCCAATTTCAGGCTCAGCCCAAAGGCACCCTGACCCTCGGTGCCTAATGGATCAGCCTCTGAGGACCCGCTTAAACCGAGAGTACCCTTCCTCAACATCCCAGGATGTGCTCATTTATTCTGGGGTACCTGTTATGTGCGAGGCACTTTTACAATTTAGTTAGGGAGACAATGAGAACATTCAAAAAGAAACACAAAGAAAAAAGAAGGGCTAGGGATGTAGCTCAGTGGAAGAATGTGTGCTAGCGTGCAGGAGGCCCTGTGTTGTCCTTAGTAACACACACCCACATACACCCCCCACACACACACACACATACACACACACAAAAAAGCCAAGTGCAGTACTGCATCCCTATAATCCTAGCATTCTTGGAGGCTGAGGCAGGAGGATCCCAAATTTGAGCCCAGCCTGGACAAGGTAGCAACTTAGAGAGACCCTGTCTCAAAGTAAAAAAATAACAAAAGGGCTGGGGATGTGGCCCATTGTGAAGGCCCTGGGTTCGATCCTCAGTACCGGTGAAAAGAAAAACCAAAAAGATAATTCCAGATAAAGATGAATGCTATAAAGGAAATCAAACATACTAATGTGGTAACTGAGATGGAGGGGGGGTACTGTGGGTTGAACTCGGAGTAAGTAATGTGCAAACAGGAGGACAGACAGAGCGAAGGCCCAGGAGGGGAAACTGCTTCCCTGTCACACTGAAGGCCCTGGGTTTGAAACAAAGACCTTTTGAGGATTTGGAAGAGATTCTTTGAATTCATATTTTATCCAAATGCTGAAAAACTAAATGTCAAAATTAATACAAATTTGCTGGCCATGGTGGCACACATCTATAATCCCAGCACTAGGAGGCTGAGGCAGGAGGATTGCCATAAATTTGAGGCCAGCCTGGGCTACATAGCAAGACCCTGTCTCGAAATCCCCCCTCCCAAAACAATAATAATAATAATTCAAATCTGAATGCATATTTAAGAATTGGGTTATTATTACGGCTTTAAAAGAAATTAGTAGTTAGACTTTAGAAGTTTACAATAATGCAGGAACAACTTCTGGTATCATTAGTCCATACTTGTGTTGCTGCACATTGTGGTCATAAATAAAAGTCTGCTTTCAACTAAAGTCAGGGTAAAGTCAGAGGAACGGGCTATTTCTTGGCTTGCTCTGCTAAGCGTAGGATAGTCCTGATAGTCACGTTGCCACCTGCTATTAAGCCTCACTTCTTTATTTCTTTTCTTTTTGGTCTAGGCCAGCTTTGAACTCACTATGTGCCCCAGGATGATCATGAACTTGTGACTCTCCTCCCTCAGTCTCCTCAGTGCTAGCATTGCAGGTCTGCACCACCACTCTTGGCTTTTCCTTCTTTTATCTCTGTCCTTTTTTTTTTATATACTGGATATTAAAACCAAGGCCTTCCCACTCAGCTACACCCTATCCCTTTTTGAATTTTTTGAGACAAGTTCACACTAAGTTGCTTAATTTCTCAGACTGGCCTCAAATTTGTGATCTTCCTGCCTCAGCCTTCCAAGTGATGGGATTACAGGTGGGCGCCATGCCTTCCTTTCTAATAGGCACTGCACAAGGGCAGATTTTCTCTGCTCTTCTACTGCTGGGCATGAAGATTTGGCCTATGGGGACCATTCACTCTTGAAAGTTCCTAGAAACTGAAGCTTACACCATGCTATAAAAAGGCACTTTGAGAATGTTTTCAGTTACAGATCTGAGATTGTTACCCTCAGTTAGACTTTGCTCTTTTTGTTTTTTTGTTTCATTTTTGAGGGAGGGGTTCGCTATGTAGTTCAGGCTGACTTTGAACTCACTATGTAGCCCAGGCTGGCCTTAAACTCAAGGTGATCCTCCTGTCTCAGCCTCCACAGCGCTGGGATTGCAGGCATGTACCACCACACCTGGTTTAGCATTTGCATCTTTAATTTATGTCTATTCTTTCATGCCTTTCATTATTACTTAAATTGCTTATAGATCTTTGACTCAAAATGATAGAATTTTCTTCCTAAATTTATTTTTTCCCTTAAAATAACAATTTTTACAACTGCCATTGTTGCAACTTACGCCCTTTGAACTATGAAAAGAATTTCAACATGACCTCCATCCCAAATGCTTACCTGTATTTGACAGTGCACATTTGTAGATGAGCACTGATTTGGCCTCGGTAGCTTGCCCTGCTCATTTACACAGCGCCAATCTGATGCCACGGCGTCTCAGCAGGTCACCCGAAGGAACAAAGGTGAATCGGGAACTGGACAATTTGGCTCTCCAAGGGCCCAGGCCAAAAGTAAATCTGGAAAGCAAATTTTAGCCAAGCACCAAGGCTACAACCCAGCTGAACTGGAATATTTATCTTGCTTTTGGCAGGAGAGACACCCCGATCCAAAAATAAGAGGCCAGGGAGGTGACAGACCACGGAGTCAAAACTGAGTCAAGACCGCAGGAATCAAAAGTAGGGGGAGGTAACACCTGTGAGTGTTCAGCAGGTAAAATAAATCCACCCAAATTCCCAGGCTGTGCCTCAGTGGCACACGGAGAGGAAGGAGGGGCCCACTGCCAACACCAGCAAGCTGCCGGGAGGACTGCGGTCTGGCCAGGCCTGGACATCTGGGACGGCCTTGTGATCTGCTCCTTTGCCAGCCCAGGGGAGGGAACAGGGCTAGGGCTGTGCATCCACATGGAGCTGAGGGCCTGGCCCAGGCTGCTCTGGCTTCTCCTTGGCAGGGTTCTGTCGGGATCCCGGGATCCCCGCGGGAACAATCTGCCGAGTCAGGCCTTGACAGGCCAACAGCAGCCAACACGCATGCACACCGGCCCAGCCCCTGTCGACTGTCGCTTCCCACTAGAGTGGAAGTCTCTGGGGGCCTTATTCAGTCTAACACCTTCGCCAACAGCTCGCTGCCTGCTTTATTTATTTTATTTTACTGCGACAGAGTCTTGCTATATAATCCAGGCTGGCCTGGAACTCATGGCAATCCTCTGGCCTCGCCCTCCTAGTTCTGGGATTACAGGGGTGCACCACCACGCCCAGCCCACTGCCTGCCTTAAATGTGCTTTCCTATCTCCTGGACTCCCTTTTCCATCAGTTCTTCCCACTTAGCATGCCCTTCCCACATGGAAAATTATTTCCACCCCTTCCTGAATGAAAAGGCTCCTCCTAAAATTCCTCTAGCTCTTGTGCCTAGTGCTGCTTTGAATCATTTGTGCACCAAGTGTCATTATTTATGCAATTGTTTCCTCTCAAAGAGTGTGCACTCCTTGGGCACAGTGTTTGTTGAACAAGTGAATGAGGGTGCTTTTAGAGCTCACTGCGTCAGCAGAGAAGGAAGAGAGGGAATTAAACAGTGACCTTAAGTGGCAAGGCCCACCTGGCTCCTGTGGGAACACAAGGTGCAGTGCATGAAATAAAAACAGACAATGACCACATCCAGACATCATTTGTGGACAGTGAGATCAATCACACAAAGACCGACCGCATTCAAGTGGCTGACTAATCTGCCTTGGGCAAGAGGGAGTCAGCTGAAGAGGAATGAATTTATTGCATAAGTGGACTCTGAGAATCAGATAAAAAAGTTCGACCTGGCATTTATTTTTGTGGCAGCGAGGCCAGCTAAAAACAGGAAATAACTTCCGCAATGTATTATGATGCCTGCAGATTATCCCTGTGAGCTCTTGCAGCCTTAGCCTTTCTCAGTTCATTATGTTCACGAGCGACTCTGCCTCTCAGTGCATCTCAGAATCTCCTCTCATCCATGAGTGCTGTGGAACCTTGGCTTGAAAATCTCCTGCAATTCAGGATTTTTTTTCTTGAAGCCTTGGAAAGCCTCTGTAGACATGCTTGCGTCAGGAACTCAGCTTTCCTGCCTCGAAGGAGCTGACTTGGACCCAGCATGGCGAGGCCGTCCCGGTTCCAGAGACTGCTGAGCCTGGGCTGCTCGCTGGGCCACAACCGACCCCCAGGGGGAAATGAGGAAGCTGAAACTACCAAGGATGACGCCACTGAAACAGCTCCTGCCCCTAAGAATACCATCAGAGGAACCCTGCATGATAGGTTGACCAACTTTGGTTTTTTCCTTTTCTTGAACTTTAAATGTTTTTACATAAATAGCATCGCAACAGCAAGAAAATGGCCTACAGCTTATCTTTTTAACACATAGAGGACGTGTGGGTGTGCGCACGCACATGTTTCTGTTATCTTTTTGTTTTTGGTTTTCTGAGACAGGGTCTCGCTATGTAGTTCAGGCTGGCCTTGAACTCATGGCGATCCTCCTGCCTCAGCCTCCTGAGTGCTAGGATTATAGGCGTGTGCTGCTATGCCCTACAGTTTCTGTTCATCTGTGTGCAGACACCTATATGACATGATTTTGTCAGTGTCACCTGGGGGACCTTGGGCCTGTCACTGCTCTCTAGAAATGGGGTCGGAGGAGATGGCTGTGCACATAGGGTCTGGGCCCTGAGACAGCCTGGGGAGTCTGAGAGAAGAGGCCTAGGATGGCTCCGAGCCTGTGGCCCTCGGCCGGATGCCTGACCCAGGGGCCTACTGACCCTTGACAGCCCAGGGCAGGGTAGGTCAGGGCTCCTGGCTGCTCAGAGGACAGCCAGAACCAATAGGGATGATGCTGCCCAGCCCAGCTGTCTAGGCTTTGGGGTAGGAAGTAATGTTAGACAAATAGTGGGAGAAAGAAGGTAATAACAGAAAATCCTAAGTCACCTTGGACTCCCAGAGAAGGACATCAAAACAGCCCTGCTGGGTTTCAGCCAAGACTTTTGTGCGTAACTACACCTGCTTCCCCTCCTCTCCGTGCCGGGTTAGCAGAACTCCTGCCAGGCTAGCTGTGGCTCCCGGCTCCCCTTTGCCATTTCTTCCCCTTGGGTGGGAGCTGGGGGCACCCAGCAGCAAAACCCCAAGGACTGCAGCTCCTTGGGGTCAAGAACAACAGGAAACAGGGAGATGGGGCTCTGCAGACGGAAGAGGACCCAGAGATGGAGGTGCAGGGAGAGGGAGGGGAAGCGGTGTAGAGAGAATGAGCATGTGTCAGGTGTGCGTCCCAGCTCCTGGCATGCGTGTGGCCAAGCCTTGCTGGAAATGAAACGTGGGCCAGCCCAAATAAGAAGGAGAAACAGTAAATTCAGAAGTGCTTCGCTGTGCCTCTTCCACAGCAGTAACCATAGAAGTTTTCCCCGATTCTGCCAGAAACTCTTGGGCTGTCCCGGCCTGAGCTGGTGGGGCCTCCTGAATGCTACCCTCCTGCCCCGGGCCGCAGCAGGGTGACCCACAGTTCCTTGAAGGCTGTTTGCTCCATGTCAGCCGGGCCCCTTCGCTGCATGAGGTCGCAGTGTGGGGTGGCCCTGGGGCCTGACTCTGGGCCCCACAGAGGGCACAGGAAGGCTCCTAGAAATGGGAAACCTTTAGACTCACAAACGGGCCACGTCAGGTGTGCCGTGCTGCTAGTCTACCCTGGCATGCAGAGGCACCGGCTGGTGCAGGGCCACAGTGAAAGCCGGAAGTGCGTTGTGTAGATGCTGCCTGGCTCTGGCCCTCCAGAGCGCCCAGAAAAAGCCTGCATGTCTGGTTTCTGTTGGAACTTCCTCAGGGCCAGGGCTGGGGAGGCAGCTGTTACTCTCAGCATGTGAAAACTGGAGAAATTCTTTTGCTTTATTTCTATTTTCCAATTTATTTTATTTTTGGACTATTTTATTTTTCAATTTTTTTTGAGACAGAGTCTTGTTGTGTAGTTCAGGCTGGCCTTAAACTTGCAGCAATCCTCCTGCCTCAGCCTCCAGAGTGCTGGGATTATGGGCTTTCGCCACCACAACCGGAAAAACAAGAGGGCTCAGGGTGCACTGTGGGCTGGGGCCTGGGGCTAGAATCCCCTTCCCAAAGCCTGGTGAGCACCCCAGCCCCAGGGCCAGCCGCAGGGACAGAGTGGCCAAGAGAGGGCAAAGCACCCTGACAGAGGATCCCCCTCTCCCTGGTCCGCCTTTGCCTTCTCCAGCCATCGCAGTGCCAAGTGGACAGGATCTGGGATTGAGGCTGTTAATCGCTCCTGCTGGAGGTCTAGATGGGCTGGCGTGTTGTGTTCCTGAAATTGTATGTTTCTGGGATTATTGGTCAGGACCCGGTTCCAAGAGCACGAAAGTTTTCTTTGCTACGCGCTGAGGGGAGGTACTCCATCGCAGGGCCGAGTGCAGGTGTTCTGTAGCAAGTCTGAGGCGTTAAACGGGGTAAGTTCACTCTCTAGAATCCTCGGTAGATAGGGTCACCTGCTAAGAATGCAAATCGGGCGTGGTAAAGGATGGAAGACGTCGTGAGGCCACTTCAGATCAGTGACTCCGGATGGCCTTGGTGAACAAGTGGCATTTAAGTGGCACCCGGAGGGAAGGAGGTGGAGAGCTGCCCAGGTACCCAGGAAGAACCATGCTGCAAGGAGAAGCCTCAGCAAGCACAACGGCCCTGCGGTGGAAATGGGCCTGGCAGGTCCGTAGGACAGGAGACCGGGCGGCTCTGTGTGCGGAGCTAGCGGGCCGCAGTCGGGAGTTTGTCGGTGGGACCAGAGATTGAATTTAGGGCCTCACACCTGCTAAGCAAGTGGGAGCTCTGGGCCCAGCGCCGAAGTGGTTGGGGGAAAGGTAGTGAGAAGCCAGTAAAGGATTTGAACAGGAGAGGCTCGGGTCTGGCTTACGTTTAGAAAGATCTTTGGGCTCTGGTGAAATTGCAGTTATAGGAGGCGGGACAGCGGAAGGGAAGCAAGTTGGAAGGCCGGGGGCGTGGCCAGAGCAGGGGACGGGCGCTCGGGTTGGGGTACGCTTTGTAAGTGAAGACCAGAGGGTGTGAGGATAATTTGGATGTGAGAGGAACAGCGGACCGAAGAGCACCTCTCGGTGTTTGGCCTGAGCCGTGGAGAAGGAGAGACGTTCGCTGGGGTTGGCAGAGGTTGCTTGCGTTCCCGCAGCTGCAGAGCAAGCCTGGGCGCACTGAGAGGTGGCTTGCTAAGACACACGACCGACCGACAGCCACTGTGGTCCACCGTTAGCCATGAGAATTTCAAAAATAAAAAAAATGAATTAAAAAGGGAATTCAGTCCCCACCGAGAGCCCTGCTCTGGTTTAGGAACAGGTGGGGACGATCAGAGTCGCTGTCCAGGGACGGTCTGATTTCTGGAGTTCTGCATCGCATCCGCAGGGGGCCGCCGAGCAGGCAGGAGCGAGTGTCCTTAGCGAGCGAGCGATAGAGTGAGCGCTCATCTGCGGGCAGAGCCCCGGGCACAGGCCGGTGCTCCTATCTCTGCCTCTGTGTCAGGGGCTCTAACCTCTTCGGGAGGCCGTGGTGAGTCACAGATTGCGAGATGTGGAGTCTGCCCCGTGGATGAGGAAGGGCCACCTCGAAAGAGGCTGCTGGCAGGAAGCCCGGCCGCATCACCTGATAGCTGATGATCTGGTGATTCCAGGTCACTGACATCCAGCGGTTGCGTCAGATTCAGAGGGCTGAGGACCTGTGCTGCAGGGTTCAGCATAGACGCCGACTGGGAGGGAACGAGAGAACCCTGGCATGGTGTTTCACCAGTCAGTAAGGCTCTGCTCATGGGCTTTTCTCATGAGGCGCTTTGCCAGAATTACTAAATAAGTGGGGACTGTGTTCCCATAACTGATCCTGCCAGGGACTTCTCTGTAGAGAGGGAATCACCTGTCTTTCCATTATCTTCCTTTCTTTCATTTTTGTTTTTGTTTTTGTTTTTTGGGGGGTACTGAGGATTGAACTCAGGTCCTTGCACTTGCAAGGCAAGTGGTGGAACCACTGAGCTAAATCCCTGGCCCCATCATTTTGTTTTTGTGGGACAAGGTCTCATTATATACCCATGGCTAGCCTCAGACTCACGGAGATCCTCCTGCCTCAGCCTCCTGAGTGCTGGGATTACAGGTGTGTGTCACCATGCCCTGCTTTACACTTCCTACTTCCCCTACTTTGCCCATCCTTTCTAAGGATACAGAAAGCCTTCTGAGCAGGAATCTTGACCTAACTGGAATCAGTGACCTATTATTATTTTTTGTTTATGTAAAAAATAGCATAACATAAAATTACCCCCCCCCAGCACTGGTGAGTGAACCCAAGGCCTTTGCATGGTGTTAGATCTCCAGCCTTTTTATATTTTATTTTGCGACAGGGTCTCGCTAAGTTGTT